TAACATTGGCAAGCCATCATCTCGATCATCTTGCATTTGACTGACCTTCTCTGAGAAATGACTCAGTAATGTATAAATCACAGGTTGTTTGGAGGCTTGCATGCCTATATGCATGAGAAGCTCTTAAAATTATAAATGTACTTAGGCATAGAGGCATAAGGTACTGTTACTGTAATAATGAAATGGATAGACAATTCGGCTGGTGGTGTAACATCTGACTAAGTGGGGTTTGGGTATCTTGGCCCAGATGAGGAAATATCCAACACCAAATATCTCTTTTCCAGTATACACACCCACACACACACACACACACACACACACACACACACTGTGAGTGCACACATGTGCAGGTGCATAAATAAACAGATTATAGATACACACACATACATAGATAGATAGATAGATAGATAGATACATACATACATACATACGTATATACATACACACACATAGTGGTTACATATACACATGTATGCACTATATAATGTGTGTATGTGTACGTTTTCAAAAATTTCTATAGATGCTTATACATAATGGGCTGTATTGTAGTCCTCTATCTAGTGACTAACACTCTTGACAGCTCTCCAGTGCCCCAGGGGACAAAGAGCTGACGCAGCAGAGATTGTCCTTGCTTTTCTGGGAGCTGACATCTAGGAAGTGATGGATTCTGAGCGTATCATACATGAAAGAATAGCCACATCTGCTCTTGGTGAAATTGAAGGTTTGTTGTAAGATAATAAGTAGGTGAATGACTATTGTTACCAGTACTTATCCTTTGACATCCTGAAGGGTGTACGATGCTGTCTTGTGGTGAGTTGAGTCTCATTCCCCTGATGACTGAATGTGATGAGCATATTTTCATGTTATGAGTTGGTGAATTTGTGTCATCTTTGAAAAGTGTTCTGTGCAGGTGTTTGACTCATGTTTAAGTCAGAACACTTAAGGGGATGTTGTTTGTTTTCTGATTTGTAGTAATCCAAGTATTGGACTATTAACCCTTTATCAGCTATATGAGTTCCCAATATTTTCTCCCAATAAATATTGCCTTTTTATTTTATGTATTGCTTCCTTGGGTTATGGAAAATTTTTACTTTGATGTAGTTCCGTTTTGTTGTTGTTGTTGTTGTTGCTAATGATTTTAGCTTCAGGTCCCCAAATTCATTGTCAAGAATGTCAGAGACCTGTTGTCATACATCTGTTTCTCAGAGTTCATGTAGAACGTTTTAATTGATTCTGCATTGAAATTAGTGTAAGTGGAAAGGCCATTTTGATTTTTTTGTTTGCTTTATTATGCAGATGGGTTTTGTGTAGCCCAGGTTGTCCTTGAACTCAATATGCTCCTGACTTGAACTGGCCTCCTTGTGGAACCCTGTCTTTGTGGGCCTTCAGTCAGATGCAGCCAATTTGCCCAGTTGGTACCTGAGAGATTGAGAAAGGGCAGGTAAAGCCACTATAGAAAAAAGACAGAGACACAGGATAGTCAGGAGGGCAATTCAGTGAATACTGAACACCCCAAGTTTATTCTCCAACATTCTTAAGTACCCCAACCAAAAGGGGAACATGGCAAAAGACTTCCTTATCATGTATAAGGGACAAACAGACTTTCTTCCCTTAATCCTCCAAACATTTGGTAACCATGCCTTAGAAATTGAGTCGTGAGACTCAAGAATAACCACACCTTAGACCAAGTCTGTTGTTATTTAGATAAGACATCTGCCAAGGTCAAAAGATCCTGCAGTAGCAGAGCCTTAGACCTTTAGGTCTTTTGACTTACTAAGGACAGTTTTGAACTCTCTGATCTTGAGGCAAGATGAAGCTGAGCCATCCTTATGGGCCCCGACAGCCCTTCTGCCATGGCCTCTCATGCACTGAGCTCACAAGCATGCACTAACATCTGCCTTTTCATAAGACGAAGTTATTCAGTGTCCCCTGTACCATTTGTTGACATCACTATCCTTTCTCCAAGTATATGTTTGTCTCTGTATCGAAAACTCACTGGAAATTTCAGTTCTGGCCTCAGTTCTGTTCCATCCTGTTAATTAGTTACTACACTACAATTTTGTGATATAATTTGAGTCGGATATAAGGCTTCCAGATTTTCTCCCCTTTTGCTTAAAATTGCTTTAGATATTCAAGGTCATTTGTGGTTTTCCTTTTCTTCCTGAAAAGTGCTATTGAGTACTGATATAGATTGGATTAATTTATAAACTACTCTGAGTAGTTTGGACATTTAGTAAATATGAGTTATTCCAACCCATGGGTATGGGATATATTTACATTTACCCATGTCTTTTAAAAATTTCTTTTGCTGATGCTTCCTCCTTCACTTCCTTGGCTGTTTCTCCAAAGGAAATAAAACTGGTTTTGATGGATTATTTGCATTCCACTGTTCATTGCAGCTTTATTCACAAGAGCCAAGACACATAAACAACTTTATTTTGTTAATAAATGAAAAATATCATATATAGAAAGAGATACACATATGCAGAAGAGAACACTATTTGGTCTTAAAAATGAAAATCATGCCTCTGAAGTATATTATGTTCAGTGAAATGAAGCAGGCACAGAACCACAAATATCTATGACCTCATGGATATGAAGAACCCTTAAAAAGTCCAACACATAGGTAGAGAATAATGAAAAGGCAGAGCTATTGGTTACAGTGTGAAATCTCCTATTTGTATGAGTGAGTGCATTTTTTAAAATCCTGTAAACAACATGCATCTTGCAAACCACAGTAAAGAGCCACCAAGAAGAGAACAGTTCATCACCTGTGCTAATCATGGCACAGTATACACACATGTCAAACTACTATGGTGCACAAATATGTAATTTGTATTCGTCAATCTTCCCTCAATCTCAGGGGCAGGCAGTAGACTATGACCTAATAGATTGTTATGTAGGCTGGAGAACCAGCCTAGTATCTAAAGGTGCAAGCCAGTAGATCTGATACAGATTTACATATTTTAATTTTGTGATATTGGGAAGTGAAACTGGGGCCTTGCACATGTTAGGAAAGTACCACTGCCCTGTAGCCCCAGGCCTCTTTGCTAGTTTGAGGCAATTGCTCATGTACTTACTCTGTAGGCCAGGCTTCCCATGAACTAATGCTCTTATATTAGCCTCCTTGTACGTGGACTTTTCTGTCTTGCCAGCCAGTTCCCAAATAACCACACTGAGACTTACTATTAATTTAAAATGCTTGGCCAATAGCTCAGGCTTGTTACTAGTTAATTCTTACATTTTCAATTAGCCCATGTTTCTTATCTGTGCTCTGCCTCCTGGCTTGGTGCTTTTTCTTAGTATGGCAAGTTCATTCCGAGACTCATCTCTTTTTCTTCCTCATGCTCTCTTTTTGTCCTGTCTAACCTCTACCTATTCAGACATTGGCCAGTCACCTTTACTAAACCAATCACAGTGACATATTTTCACACAGTGTAAAGGAATATCCCACACCCGATTCTCTGGTCTTTTGGGCCTGTGCAACAAGGCCCAGCATATATTTTTATTTCTCTGAGTAAACCAGACTTTGTGTTTGACTTCAGTCGTCCCTGAAACGCTTCCTGAGTGGCCATAGTTCCTCAGACTTACCAGGGGTAGCCAGGCCAAGTCAGGGAGTGTGAGGTCACTCTCTGATGTCATACCATGAGATTTGACTCTGTCCTCCAGAACTGGTGATGCAGTTCAGAGACTTGTGACACGATTTCCTAGTTGGTAAAGTGGGATGTATATACACTGTTGTAAGGTTGTGTGGTTTGTTGTCCCTTGTGATCTGATCAGAAAGCCTGCCTTCTTCAGAGAATGGGCTGAGGGTGGGAGATTATTATAAAATTCAGTAAGCTGATAACAGGGCAATGCTCTTAGTCAGTGCTCAGAAACCTGTCTTCTCATTATTGTGTTAGTTATATATACAAAATCGTCATTGTCCTGCCCTCCTTCTCCCTTCTTCCTACAGCATATGACTTTTCCCAGAGTTCAGCTGTGCAGCAATCTCAGGGCCACTCTGGGATTTAGTCATTTCATGGTCTTCTCCACTGTCCTATAGGGAACCAGGTTTAACAGTTGGCTCACCTCACCGGGTTGCGCTCTTCCTGCTAACTCCCTCATGCTCTAACAACTTGCAAAGGGCAGTGCTCTGCTGAGCTGAAGAGGACAGGGAACAATATTGTTACACATCAAACCAGGTTTTATGTTTTTCCTTTTCCAAATAAGCCTTGTGTAAGGAAGAAATCTTTTTATGTAAATAACTAGGAAACTAAGAAAGAAAAGTAACGCTTAAGATACTACCTTTCAAACCTTTCTGGCCACACTTTACCATAGGAAATATTTTATTTCAAATCCAGTTCTCACGTGTATGCATGGAAATAGTTTTGTAATCGAATAAGCATCCTGCCAACGATAGTACAGCATTTTCTACTCCGCATAGCTCAGTAAATTGTCATTCATGTTATTCCATTTCCTTACTTGCCGTTCAAGAAGAAAAGAATTTAAAAATATTTATCTATGAGACCAATGAGCATAAAGAAGACTGGTAATATAAATAAAAAGAATTAGGGGCAAAGTACAATGCTTAGCTATGGAAATTTTCTCATTAATCATTACTATAGATACAAAAAAATCAATATAAATGGTTAGGCAAATTTTTCTAAAGATCGTTATCTAGTTTGTGTACCTTTTAAAAAGCTCACTTTACTTCTTAGATTTTGTAGTTCTGAATGACAGTTTCAGGCTGGATCGTCAGGTGCATGATGCTATGCAACCAGAAAAGCCTGCCTCTGCCCTTAGAATTGGGATTACTGACCTTGTCTCCTCTGTGTTCTGGCTCTTCCCCTTGAATGAGGGGTAATACTGTTTGTCTCTCCCCAATGGTTCTTTGAAGATCAGCTGAGATAACAAATTTGAGATGGTTTTATAAATTAGAACATTCTTTATAAATATTGACCCATTAGTCTCTGCATGTGTAACCTTTGCTTCCTTTGTGTTTGAAAAATATTCTCCAGATCTCACAGCTGAATACACTGATCACACTTCTTCTGGGAGACCTTTCACCTGGAGACCGGCAGAAGATCATGACCATCTGCACTATTGATGTCCACGCCAGGGACGTGGTGGCAAAACTGATTTCTCAGAAGGCAAGTGTGCCTCTGGGAGTTGACTTACTGCTGTTTCCTGGAAGTGGCATTTATTGCCAGAGTGACAGTGAGAAATTCACTGTTTTCCAAAAGTTTCAACTAGTGCTGAGAAGTTTTTTTGGATGTATTAGATTTGAGTTACCTGAGTAATGCCCGAAGGTTTGCTAAGTTAGAAGTCTCAGATAGTCTAACCACTAATGCAGATGGAAGGATCATGGGAGAAGCTTTATTTTTACAGTCCTGTCTTCTCTGAGACTCATACGTCTTACATAGTTAACAACACTGCATGCCATTTCAACTCTCTTAAGGAGTGTGAGGTTGGGGAGCTGGCTCAGTCCTTAAGGACCTGTGTTCAGTTCCCCAGATGCCACATAAAGCCGGGAATAATAGCAGGGGATAATAGCCCAGTGCTCCTGTCATGAAGGGTGAGGCAGAGACAAAAGAGCCATTAGAAAGTCTCAATGCCAGCTGCCCCTGGATACAATGGGGATGAGCGTCTCAAATAAGGCAGAAGGCAAGGGCTACTGGTCATGGTTGTTCTCTGGCTTCTACACCTGTGCTGTGATCTCTCTCTCACACACACACACACACACACACACACACACACACATATACACATACACACAACACATAAATATACACTCACACATGCTAAACAAATATACACTAAACACTCACACATGTACACTCACGCATACACACACACACACACACACACACACACTCTACACACACAAACACAAATGTACATACACACAAACACATAGTACACATACATTACACATACACACAAATGATCACCCATACACTCACTCACTCTCTCTCTCTCTCTCTCTCTCTCTCTCTCTCTCCCCCACACACACACACACATACACACACATACACACACATACACACACATACACACACATACACACACGCACACACACCCACACACCCACACACACAAATACACATACACCCAACACATAAATATACACGCACACATGCTAAACAAATATACACTAAACACTCACACACATACACACACGCACACACACCCACACACCCACACACACAAATACACATACACCCAACACATAAATATACACGCACACATGCTAAACAAATATACACTAAACACTCACACACATACACACACGCACACACACCCACACACCCACACACACAAATACACATACACCCAACACATAAATATACACGCACACATGCTAAACAAATATACACTAACCCACATCACATGTACACTCACGCACACACCCACCCACACGCCCTCGCTCTCTCTCTCTCTCTCCCTCTCTCTCCCACACACACACACACATATACACATACACACAACACATAAATATACACTCACACATGCTAAACAAATATACACTAAACACTCACACATGTACACTCACGCATACACACACACACACACATACACACACATACACACACGCGCGCGCGGGTGCGCGCGCGCACGCGATTTATTTGTTTTTTGTTTGTTTGTTTGTTTGGGTTTTGATGTTGTTGTTGTTTCAGACAGGGTTTCTCTGTGGCTTTGGAGCCTGTCCTGGAACTAGTTCTTGTAGACCAGGCTGATCTTGAACTCACAGAGATCCTCCTGCCTCTGCCTACCAAGTGCTGGGATTAAAGGCATTAGCCACCACTGCCCGGCTTCACACACACACACTTTAAAATCTCATCTCTGTGTGGTGTTGATCCATTTCCCCCTGAAGAAATCAGTGTTGGTCATGATTCTAGACTGTTTTGGCCATCCCCTGTGGGTGCTGTTCATGGCTAAATAATGTTCTTTCTTGTTAAGAGGTTATTTTCTAGTCTTTTCACTAATTTGATGATTATTTTTTTTTACCACCTATCTCTTTTAGAAATCTACATGTCTCTCAGATGCTGTCAATATTTAATGTGAAAGGGAATGTTCTTGTTCTTTACCCCCCCCCAATTGTACTTTTACTTTCTAGGTCTTGCCTGATTCCTAAACACACTGCTGGCAGGACCCTTCATCCAACACTGCCACAGTCTTTCTGGGAGTGGGGAGGGTGCTTAAATGACAACAAGCAAAAAAAGAAACAAAAATGAAGCTCACACAAACACAAAAATGAAAATCAAAACAAACAAGAAAAGATCAGTAATACAAAACAAAAAGTCCACAGAAAAACCATGGAGCTGGTTTTGTGTAGGCAAAAAGAGAGGAAGGGCATAAAGTTGAGTGGCAGGGAAGTTGGGGAGGAGCTGGGGGATGTCTTAGTTTTCCATTGCTGTGAAGAGACACCATGGCCTGGACATCTTAAGAGAAAGCATTTAATTAGGGGCTTGCTTACAGTTTCAGAGGGTTAGTCCATGATCATCTTGGTGGGGAGCAGGGCTCCTGATCCATAAATTGGATGCAGAGAGAGAAAGAGAGATGATAGATAGATAGATAGATAGATAGATAGATAGATAGATAGATAGATAGGAGAGAGACACTGACTGACTGACTGATAACTGGCTGGGTCAGGCATGAGTTTTGGAAACCCAGTGACACACATCCTCCAACTAGGCTATGACTCCTAACCCTTCCCCAAGTAGTTCTACCAATTAGGAACCAAACATTCTAATATATGATGCCATGGGGTTGGGGGTAGGGCAGTCTCATTCAAACTATCTCAGAGGGAAAGGAACATGATCAAAGTATATTTTGTGAAAACAATTTTTGTTAAGTAAAAAGAGAGAAACAAACACTAAACATAGAAGACACAGGGGTGGGGGGGTAACTTAACCACCACAAAGTAAATTAAAAAAAAAATAAAAAATCTTCCTAGTTAAATTGAGGCAAAATTTAAATTTCTAAAATGCAAATAAACCTGTTTATCTTATTTTTTAAATGACAATCCCATCCCAGTTTGTATGCTTGTATCATAAAACACTGTGAGTTATTTTCCTACTTATTTCTCTGTTTATTGAAATCAAGGGTATTTTAATTTTCTCCATGAATTGCAAGAAAGTACCTTTTCAGGATTGGAGATAAGGCCAGGTAGCAAGGTACTTACTGTGCAAGTGAGAGAACCCAAGTTCAGACCAAAACCTACATTATTCTTGATGCTCTACCATACATGTGTATGCAGACTTGATTCCGGCCTAGTCTTTGGAAAACTAAAAGGCAAGAATTTTGGCAACTTGAAGTAATTCCTAGGGAGCCCTAAAGTCCCACACACTAGAAAAGAAATAGAATTGAGTAAGATGGGAAAGAGTAGCCTATAAAAATCATCTTTATGTAACCTGACCAAAAAAAAAAAATGAGGTAAAAAGTTCCATACTATGAACATGGGTGAAAGCATACTTTATACCTCGATGTGCAGAAATTATGGATTATGTGTAATTTTAATACATAAAATGAATTTTTCATTGGGTTCAGTAACACGTGAATAAAAGATAACAAAACTTACTAGGCCCTGGGTGACTCGTAAAAGGTAAAAGCATTGCTTGAACACACTGATACCATTTTGGATAAAAGACCTTTTAAACTGAAGACTGTTACTTCTCACATATTCCTGATTAGTAATACTGCTGGAATCTGCAACAGCATGCAAGAGAGTTCCTCCTGGAGAACTCAGGATTCTGAGCCAGCAGAAACGGTGAGATGAATCAGTCTGCTGCCTCAGAACCACCACGGCCTGGCGTGTTAAGATTGTGCCGTGATTACAGGTTGTCAGTCCCCGTGCTTTTGCCTGGCTGTCTCAACTTCGGCACCAGTGGGAGGATGCTCAGAAGCACTGCTTTGTCAGCATTTGTGATGCCCATTTCCAGTACTTCTACGAATACTTGGGAAACAGTCCCCGACTGGTGATCACTCCTCTCACTGACAGGTAACAAATATAACCTCCCATGATGGGAAAACCACACCCCAATGTCCTTCTGTGTGGAGAAAGATGTGTGAGAATGAGAGGCTGAGAGGAACGGATGAACAAACCGGGAAACTGTGAGTGAAAACAGCATGGAAATTAAATGTACAGGACACTGAGTGTTAATTTTAGAGTCAACATGAAGAAAATTGAGTTAGAGAAGCCAAACGGTAACAAATGGAGAAAGCTTGCATGGATTAATGTGGTTTAAGGAAGCCTGGCTGTTCCCAAGGTCATTCCACTCACTTCCCTCTGCCATGATCTCTCTTGGCTGTGCAAGTATAGTGAGGATAGACTGTAATAACTTTATTTTCCTGCATCCACTGGAGAGGGAGAACCTATGAGTCAGTCAATGAGCTGCCAAGTATTTATGAAGGTTGCTGTGCCTTGTCCTGTCTTGACGGTGTATTTGCTGTGACAGTGATCAAGTTCCAATTGCATGTCATATGAGAGTGGGTGAGGATGAAGAGAAATGACAGGTATTTATTTTAGGCAGTGCAGTCTGTAAAGTTCAATTGCTGACTTGTTGGAAAGGGTCTGGAGGGAATAATCTACTTCAGGTTAAGCTTCCCCCTGTCTGAAATGCTTAGGTCCAGAAATATTTCTGATTCAGGATTTTTTGGGATTTTGACATTATTTGTGTAGACGCTCCAAGTCGAGCACCCATATTCTGAAAGTTCAAACTCTCAAATACTTCAAAGACAGGTATCAGGTCATTTTAGAGCTGGGATCAGAATCTACATAGACTATATTTGAGCAGAGACCTAATTGTGCACACAGAATCAGCTACATATAGATTTTAAGGTAGAAAGTTACAGACAAAGTTAAGTATGGAAGTTCAAAAGTAGGCACGAGCCTGATTGGGTTAAAAGACAGAAGAAAGCCAGAGTGGTCCAAGAAAGTCAGAGGACTTATAGATTGCTACCAAAAGTGCATTGCTATTTGATAATGCACAAAAAGATACATAGAATGTCGTAGAGGCAAAGATGTTTCATGGATGTGAATTCTTTTGTTAGGATTCCAACTCCTGATAAGCTATGTGTTATGAGAAAGCACACTTAATCTTTGGCTTTTAGGAGGGACAATTGTACCTCAGTGTTCCCAACTACTTCCTATCATCAAAGTATAGACAGATTAGAAGACAGCTATATGGTTGTAGTACCCTGGAGAAGCTGGTGTGATTTTCTCTGTAGCTTTGGGGTTGTTCATGTACATATAAGTCTCAGGAAGTCATCATATAATATATATGTTATATATATTACATATAGCTTCTGGGACTGTCAAAATTAGCTGTTGTTAACTTGTCTCTATCTAAAACTGTTCATTGCCTTCTCTTATTCATTTATGTACAGTATTTATCATGAGGAATTGAAAGTTGTAGTTTGGCTTAGTCACAGCTACTGTATACAAATCACTATAAAGAGAGGCGAGGAGAGGTGTAAGTACAGGAGAAAAGTGGTAAAATTGCAAACTCTCCCAATATGTAAAATCTGGTTGTGTAGTAAATTTTGAAGTAAAAATCTCTACATGCTTCATTTGGAAGTTTAAAAGAATGCTTGTTCTTATTGGGGAGCTCTTGGTCCCCAGACTGATAGCTGGGAAACCAGCATGGGACTGATCCAGACCCCAGGAACATGGGTTTCAGTGAGGAAACCTCGGAAATCTATGGGACCTCCTATAGTAGATCAGTACTTATCCCTAGCATAGGTGTGGACTCTGGGAGCCCATTCCACATAGAGGAATACTCCCTGAGCCAAGACACACAGGGGTGGGCCTAGGCCCTATCCCAAAGGATACGATAGACTCTGATGACACCCTATGGAAGGCCTCACCATCCAGGGGGAGCAGAAAGGACATGTGATAGGAAGGGTTTTAGTTGGGGGGGTGGTAGGGGAGGACAGGAGGGAGAGGGAACTGGGATTGTCATGTAAAACAATCTTGTTTCTAATTCAAATAAAAAATATATATTGTAAAAAAAAAGAAAGTGAAAACTTATTGGTTTCAATTAAAGTGATGCTTCAAGAAACTAATTATAGATGCAAATGCATTTGTTGAGAAAAAACAAGGCACTTAGATTTTAAAACAGATGTACTTACTGGACAAATTGGACTCAATAGTTTAACAAAAGAGGGCATAAAGTTCGGAGGGAGACATGGTAGTAATAAATGTGGTCAAAATTTGTTGTATGCATGAATGAAATTCTCAAAGAATAAATATGTTTTTAGAGGGAAAAAATATATGTTCTTGTGGTAGTACAGATAGTGTTGGGGAACGTGTTTTAAATTGTGTATTTCATTTCCCGTTTTTTATCCTTTGGCTTACCTATGAATTTTTGTAAGCCTAATGACACCTCTAAATGTGTTCATTCTGTCTTATTTGACATTTGTTGTGAATGTCCCTTTGGGAACTAGGTGGGGAAGATGCTGTCTCCTTCCATATGTCAGCAGGTTCGGAGACAGTTTGACCAGCTTGCCAGACAGGCTGGTAGCACAGTGGCTGTAGTGGTGAGGATGCTGGCTAAGCTGTCACTAGGAGAAACCCTAAAATTCAGTCTTAATGGACACAGAAGCTGATGTCTCTCTTGAGTAAGTCTAGAGACAAGCAGGCCCACATGATGGGCTGGTAGGTGGCTGACAAGCTGAGCATGGCTTCCATGGTTGCTTCACTCAGTGGAAAGGCAGCCCAAAGCAAATGTCCTCAAGAAGGTGTTCTAGAAATGCCTTTTCTGCACCTATGACATTGTTTGGAGCTTGGACATTTGGCTCCTCCTGCTGGCAGGCAGAGAGGAAGTTTAGATATCGGTGGCCATGTTTGACCCAAACTGGGAACTACAGATGTAAGTGCACCAAGAGGGCTCAGGTCCTGGTGTAAGAGTCCTGGTGTAAAAGTCTTTCTACTCCTTCAGTGTGAGATGCTCTTCAGCCTGCATCTGATGGAAGGGCTGTGGCCCACCTTCTGCTTGTTTCTGTTGGCATGGTAATCTCTGAACTCTTCAGGTCTTTTCCCTTTAACTGTCTTCATGAATCCCTGCAGTAACCCTCTCTTTGTGAATGAGAGACTTCAGAATGCTGAGGTCAGAAAACTTCAGATTGATATCTGATGATCCACAAAACGGATCTTGGTCCCCGGTCCCCCAGCATGCATCTTTCTGTCACTGTCTGTACTGACACAAAAGTGATGCAGAGACCCAAGTGAAGATCATCCAGGCCTGGCGTTGGTGACGCACGCCTTTAATCCCAGCACTCGGGAGGCAGAGGCAGGCGGATCTCTGTGAGTTCGAGACCAGCCTGGTCTACAAGAGCTACTTCCAGGGCAGCCTCCAAAGCCACAGAGAAACCCTGTCTTGAAAAACAAAACAAACAAAAACATCATCAGCAATTTGAGGCCCTGGCCACTTGTTTGTATTGCTTTCTTTTGCAAATATTAAGTTCTAACCTTTGGGTGAGACTTGTAGTCTCAGTACCCCTGACTCCTCCCTACCCAAATAAACATCGAGGTGATAAAAATGCATGGGCAACACATTCCAGATGGATTTCTGAAGTTTGTTGGATATGGTGTTCCATCCAGTATGTATTTTTACATACTTGATTAAATACATGTATATCTCAGCTCTTAGTGTATTTGTTACATAGCAATTTAATGTGGTCATGTTTAATTCATCATCATCTAAGACCTCCCTCCCCGTCTATAATAGGTTTGAGGCATTGTCTGCCATATTAATAGTGTGTTCACCTAGAAGCATCAGAAATTCAATTACATTGAAGAGAAATATATTTGTATTCAAATGCACAGCTCTTGGGAAATGAGACAGTGAACAAATGAAACAGCACATTCTTTTCCAGTTGTTTTATGTGGGCAACCTAGAAAGCGGTCTCACAATTGCCACGAACAAGCCAGAAGTTCACTGGTGGGTTTTGCTTCTACTGTGTTCTAGGCCTTGCCTTTTTGGTTTTTTTTGACATAGGGTTTCTCTGTAGCTTTTGGAAGCTGTCCTGGAACTCGCTCTGTAAATCAGGCTGATCTCGAACTCACAGTTCTGTGATTAAAGGCATGTGCCACCACTGCCGGATGGCCTTGACTTCTTAACCACTTTTTTTAAAGGATTTATTTATTTATTATGTACACATTATTCTGTCTGCATGCATACCTACACACCAGTAGAAGGCACCAGATCTCATGGTAGATGCTTGTGAGCCACCATGTGATTGCTGAGAATTGAGTGCAGGACCTCTGGAAGAGTAGCCAGTGCTCTTAACTTCTGAGGCCCTTTCTCTTCAGCCCCTTAACCACTTTTCAAAGAAAATCATTTATTCCCAATGTGTCATGGAAGCACAGGCTCAACCATCGTATTTGTGTTTTTGTTGTGTGAAGGTGTTACATCACTTTAACGCAATCTCTTCATCTGACCATGAGCGGGGCTCCAGCCGGCCCAGCTGGAACAGGGAAAACAGAAACCACCAAAGACCTTGGTCGTGCCCTGGGCATGATGGTCTATGTATTCAACTGTTCAGAGCAAATGGACTACAGGGTAAGTTACTAAATACATAAAATGTGTTCTGGCAGCATTGATCCTATTTGGAAAGCCATATACCTTGTCTGAAATACTTGGAGCTGTGAAGTGCTTCTCATTCCTGAAATTTTCAGGGTTTGCTCTATTTTCACCCTCATGGTGATATAGGTCTGTACTCCTAAACGTGCGGTTTATTCACATTACATGTATAGCTACTGCAGACTTATGGTGACTTCACTCAATAGTTTTAATAATTTCATACACTAAGCAAAATTTCATAGCATGGACATGTTTCCACTTACGATGTCATGTTGATACCCAAATGCTCTGGATTCTGGAGCCCTTTGGATTTTAGATCAGGGCTGCCCCACCTGTAAGTGCTCCAAACCCTCCGTTCTCCTCTGACTATAGTCCATAGGAAACATCTACAAGGGTCTGGTGCAGACGGGAGCCTGGGGCTGCTTCGACGAGTTC